CTTTAAAACATACTCATCAGTTACGCTCATATCAAAAATTGTAAACGGTAAAAAAAAGTAACGACATCTGAAAAAAACGATTTATAAAGTACTTCCCTTACTAAATGTGATTATCAACAACATGATGTGTTTAAATATGATATGGGAGTTAGTAGCCTATGAATATGATGCTCTTATATATAATCATCTAGTTTCTGTATTTTTGTAACAATTAGTCAAAAATGGGTTATATTTTAAACTTTATCTCGTTAGGCGATGCTGAGTCAACAGAAAAAGACGGATGGACCTCAGATGATCTTTGGTGTGCAACAAAAAAATATGGAGTTGGTGCGTTATTGGGGGTATGTGCAGTAGCTGTAACACCGTATGTTCTTGGTGTAGCTGGATTTACTGGAGCTGGTATAGCAGCTGGATCAGCGGCAGCTAAACTAATGTCAATGTTTGCCGTCTACAATGGCGGAGGCGTATTAGCCGGAGGAGTTGTTGCCACCTGTCAATCTGTAGGGGCTGCTGGATTAAGCATGGCTGGAAAGACTGCAATGTTTACCACAATTGGCGGGACGTACAGCTTTTTTGCTGGAGGATGCGCAGAATATGACATTGAATGTATTAAGAAACGAAAATGATATCAAATGTTTTAAATATATTGTTTTTATTAGACCAATACTTTTCGAATGCTAAATCATATTTTTAAAATGTGAAATTCTTAACACCAGAAAATGTAATAAACATATTTAGATTATATTTTTGGGTAATTTTTTATACTGAGGAATTTACTATTAGAATGTGGCATTCTACCTTTCAGACGATTTAAAGTTTCCCAAAAAAATCAATCATATTTGTGATTGATATCCTTTGAAGAATTTGATATACAAATAAAGAGATGTGATATTGTGGCCAATGACTTAACTAACCATAAATACGAAAGTAAAAAGACATGAACAATTACAGGTTACCATACGGACTACGACTATAGAATTGAACAAAACCCATACCATATAGTAAGCTAAAACAAACCCATCATAGATACCAGGATTGAAATTTAATATTTGCGCCAGACGCGCGTATCGTCTACAAAAGACTCATCAGTGACGCTCGAATCAAAAAAGTTAAAAAAAAAGGCCAAATAAAGTACGAATTGAACAGCATTGAGGACCAAAAATTCCATAAAGTTTGCAAAATACATCTGAGATAATGTATTCCTGAGGTTTATAATGTCCCTGGTACGAAACATGAACACACCAGCGGCTTGATTTGTTTGTGACCTTGATTTGTCTTTTTAATCACGTTCTGAGATTTGAACATCGGTAAAATTACTGTAGTACAAGTTGATACGCTATCTCAGAGTTTGTATTTCTTTTAGTTGACTGTTATGGAATGCCTGTGCCATACATGACCACGAATACAATCCAATTTTAGTTTATATAACCCATTCCTCTTTTTCCCGATAGTGATAGCACCCACAGACTTGTAGAAGGAGAAGGTAGGGCAATCAGATTGACAATCAAAACCGCACAATGGTGTTTTGTCTAGAAATGGCAATTATAATTAACAACTTTTTGGAATTTTGGGTCCTCAATGCTCTTCAACTCTGTACTTGTTTGCCTTTACAACTATTTTGATCTGAGCGTCACTGATCAGTTTTATGTAGACGAAACGCGCGTCTGTCGTATTAAACAATAAGCCTGGTACCTTTGATAACTATATTCAATCAGCCTTTCAAATGATATAACGCAATCAGGTAAAGCACTTGATATTCTACCTCAGGAATGACGTTTCGTCCCCGATGGTATCACCAGCCCGGTAGTCAGCACTTCGGTGTTGACATGAATATCAATTGTATGGTCATTTTTATAAATTTCCTGTTTACAAATATGAATTTTTCAAAACACTAAGGATTTTCTTATCCCAGGTATAGATTACCTTAGCCGTTTTTGGCACAACTTTTTGGAATTTTGAGTCCTCAATGCTCTTCAACTTTGTACTTGTTTGGCTTTATAACTATTTTGATCTGAGCGTCTCTGGTGAGTCTAATGTAGACGAAACGCGCATATGGCGTATTAAATTATAATCCTGGTACCTTTGACTATTAAAGCGGGGGAATGTTTCGCCCTTTTACGCAGAATGCTACTTCGAGAGCCTGTGGATGGCATATACCCTATTGGACATTTATCACAAATATATCAGTATTTTAATGAGCTAATAAAATATGGTTGACAGATGTAAACCGAATACCACAGTAGATAAAATGCATGCGCTAGGATAATGATTTAATGTACGGCGCTGTTTACAATTTTGTGGGGAGTGGACTAAATGGGCTATCCTTAAGAAAAAAAATTAAAAACTGCATTGAAAACATTTGGTTTCTTTAATTAAAAAAGATTGAGAAAATACTAAGGCACTCAAAAATCATTAATAAAACAAAACCAGATAAGAAAATGTATAAAAGAATCCGCAAAAAAATACTAACAGCAGTCAAGAAATCATTACAAATAAATAAAAAAAATGAGCTACACCAACCCCACGAAAACCGGGGATGATTGCAGGTGCCGAAGAAGGTTCCGCAGTTCCTGATATAAGTAATATCAGCAAAGTGTTGTCTTAGTTTTCTTCATTTTCACCTTTTGGCGGCCATTTTGAAATTTTCCGTCATTTTGAAAAAAAAGAAAGGTCTGATATAACTTCATGACTTACTTAAAACGTTGGCTTACATTTTATATATTTTAAAAGATTTGGTTTGAATATTATTTGCTTTTTATTATACTTGGCAGTGAAATTTGGGCAGATTGGCAGACATCTTTAAAAAAAAATGCACAATTTAATAATTTGTGGATGACAAGATCATTATGTTGCTGTCACCGTGTTTCTATTGAAAATTATTGAGGTTTATTTCATTGGTTGCAATGAATTATCGTGATTCCCAGTGAAACAAAAACCGATAATTTCACATGTGAAGTAAACACGATAATTTCACTCCTCAGTCGTCATACAATAAAAGAATTTGTCAAGACGTTATCGACGAAGTTGCATAAAAGCAAACTATGAATGCGTAGAAAAAGTAGCGTTTTCTACTTTATTTCCATTTTTAGCCAATGTTAGTGAAATAAAAAGAATAACTAATCAAACAATTAAAATATCGAAAAATATTCAACTGGTGACCGAACAACACTGATAACAAACTCCTGCGCTCATCTTTGATTAGTTATTCTATGAGTAAATCATCCATATTCCAATCTTCTACCAAACACAAAATGAATTATGTGGTCTAATATAAGCTCTTTCCACTACGAATTACAATCATGGTCTTTGATTTAAACACATTAATGGAGTCCTCTATGTCTCGCTGTATATTAAAATTTATTTTGATTTATTTTCGAGTCTGCGACATTTATGTTGCGAAAGCGAGACAAAGAGATCCTAGATTCCTTCCTCGACGTCAGCGGCGTCTGCATTTAAGTTCAGCTTGTGGTTAAAGTTTTTTATAATCAATAACTCTGTCAAACCTTCCTGGATTTAAGGAAATTGAACAGAAGCTTTTTTATGACCAAAAGACAGTAGCTGTTCCCGGAGCAATTTTTGAAAATTTCTATTTTCACATTTCCGTATTTAACTGATAAATGGACGACCTTGTTTTTTATAGATTTTGTTTATACTTTGGCAGAGTTTTTTTGTATGATCAAGATATAATGTCTGAGGCAAACTTTTGAAAATATCTTACTTCTTTTCCTTTTCAGTATTTTTCTGATCGATGGACTAAGTCTTTTTACAGTTAACACTTACGAGAGTCTGGGACTATTTTTTAAATGATTGATTTGAAAATCTCCATGGATTGATATGAAACTTGGACAGAAGCTAATCTTCAAGACCATGAAAAAAACATCTAAAGATTTTTTTTTTAATTATGTATATTTTGTATTTTACTGATAAATGAACTCACTTTTTAAGTGAAAATTACACTTTTACACTGGCAGCAGCAATTGAAAGCGAGACACAGGGTCCAGTGGAACCCCTTACAAGTTGTATCTATTTAATCTGACACTTATCTAACTATGAATTCAGTTATACAAATTTCAAATACGTTTAACCCAAAATAGTTATTTAAACACTTCACAATTCAATCACCGCTTTCAGTTTAAAAAAAAAACAACAAATTATTGTTTCGTCAATCAAAATACCAAAACATTGTATAATATATTAGTCACAGATAATCACAGATCTGTTATACAAATCCCGACCCCTATTGCTTAATCATGACATAACCGATTTAGACTATACGGAAAATAGTAGTATTACATTTTCCCAGCATTAGGTCGGCCTTTTGTGTACCCAAGTCAGGTGCAGGAAGTCAACTTATGAGCGCTGTGATTGGATGTAAGGAAACAACATATTTTTCTATTTATTTATGAATAACTGCAGTGTGTCTACTTACAATTTAAATTTTGAAACCCATTGAAATATTTCGAAATTGTTCGAAAAGACTTCCAAAATTTCATAAATTTGGTGTAAAATGACGTTGGGCATAGATAACATAAACAAGCTCCGTTGGTCATGATACTATTTGGCGTCAATTTTTAAAACAGAATAATAAAGTGCTTACAACAAACATAACTGGTTTGTCCATGTTTTTATTATAAAAAGTGGTAAATTTGGAAAATGTTAGTATTGTCGCATATGGCAGAATGAATACTACAGTTTTCCCTTAATAATTAATGTTTTTATTTGTCATGATCAAACCGATGGGTGACAATATGGGATCTCAATCTCTCATATACAGAGATTTCATTTGCAGATGTTCGAAATTAAATCATGGACAGTTAAATTTTATTATGGGCCGCATTTAAGGGTTTGGAAAGTTCTCAATATTGGTTGCACCCATAGATGAAAAATTTCACATTCTGTGTCTGAGTATATATTTATTAAATATGGAAATAAAAGCTTTTTAAAAAACTAATAAAAGTTGTTTGCATTTTTATTTTCATTTTTTATGTACAATTATCAAAATTCCCAATACTATAAATATGTCTTATATGTGTGTCACGTGCGTTTAATTATATGACCTGAAAAACATCAAACACAATTATACCGAGTATTCCGGGGGAATAAACTAGGAGATACACATACATTTCTACCGTGTAAGTACAAATATCAAAACTAAATTACACCTGTAATCTTAAAATCTGATTGATGTATATATAAATTAAAATTATTTAATGTTTAATTTTAACCGTAACCATCATTATTACAATATCTTTTAATTCTACATACAAATCTAATGTAGTAGTCCGATTCCTTTTTAAATGTAATACGACAACTTTTGCTATTAAATTTATTCATTAGTTCAGAAAAGGTGCTCATTATGGCTCCAAAGAACACTAGAGTAAATATTGGTTGTACAAACCAACTTGTACAGAGGGAGGTTTGTTGAATGACCAGAACAGCAATCTATTCATCGAAAGACAAAAAAATATCAACGGGTGAACCCTTTTTATATTTAAATGATATTGTATGGTAATGTTTACAAGTTTATTTTTTTATATTTTCATATCATATAAACTGCTAAGGGAGTAAATGATTAGCCTGCGTTGTCTGCTGTTGGTTGTACCGTACATAACATTAGTTCATTGTCGTAATAGTTAATGTTTCTGAGGCCTATGATGAGAGTGTCAAAATTAATCACCCAAAAAACAGTGATTGAAAAAAAAACAAAATATATGAAAAAGAGTACTAAGCAAAACTTTCTGTTTACATCTTCGTGTACCTTATGTTATGTTTGGTTTTAGTAGATACTTTTAAAAGGAATACAATATGTTTAAATTTAAACAAAAACTAAAATATATAAAGTTAATAAATACATGAGGCAGAATATAAAAATGATCTCTTGGTTACAAGATCTTTGGATTGTTGTCAAAATGATTTTATCATAAAGGTTATAACAAAGTTAAGCATGTCTATATGTCAGCTGTCAGACTATTTAAACGATTCTTTTCTTCAAAGTACAAAAGAAATACGAAAACACAATATTTATTCATAACAGGCTACCTTTAAAAATAAGATATAATTCAACATTTGAAAGATATTTTATCGGAGATACATTTATTAGTTGGGTTCTTTAATTAAAACGATACCCATTTAACCAACTAATTTTTTAATACATGTATATCTGGTGTCAGTTCATAATGGATAGCACGTTAAGGTATGCATTTAATTGAATATTTGTTGGCCCTTTTATCCGAATTAGCGCGTTTAGTTTCTGTTTGGGACCGACGAAGGGTTTCAAGTCAGTCCTTTATTCTCAACCTTTTTAAACTAAGATTGTCTATTACGATATTAGCCAGATATTCATTTTTCGGTTAAATTCCTTAATTAGAAGTTGCTAGTCTTTAAACAAACTGGTTAGTGATGTATTTTTACATTTATTATCAAATCATGCAAATAAACTCATCATAGATACATGTACCAGGATTGAAATTTTGTATTTGCACCAGACGTGCGTTTCGTCTACAAAAGACTCATCAGTGACGCTCGAATAAAAATAAAATAATAAGTACAAAGTTGAAGACCATTGAGGACTAAAAAGTCTTAAAGTTTTACCAAATACAGCTAATGTAATCTATTCCTGAGGTAGAAAAGCCGTAGTATTTCAAAAATTCAAAGAGTATCTTTCAATGACAATCTTACAGATGATAAGACAAGCTTGGTTGATATTTCCTTTGCAATGACTATCGAAAAGAATAATCATATGCACAAACATGTTATCCTATAATACATGTTCATTTAAATCTATTAGCCATACATAGTTTTTGTGTGTTATAGGTTTTAACTTTATCTACATAGAAGATGAGTGATCAAAACATTGGAGGCTGGACATCGAATGATGTTTGGTATTTAACAAAGAAATACGGAGGACCAGTCGTAGCAGGGGCATGTGTAGTAGGTGCAGTACCCGTTGTACTTTATGCATTTGGCTTTACCGGGTGTGGTATAGCAGCTGGGACATTGGCACCTAAAGTTATGGCTTGGTCAGCCGTTGCCAACGGTGGAGGCGTAGCTTCTGGTGGAGTTGTCGCCACACTTCAATCTGCGGGAGCTGCTGGATTTGGTCTTGGTACAAAGTTTGCAATCGGTACAACTGCTGGTGGAATTTTCAGCTATGTTTTCAGAAGTCGCGCAGAAAAGGACGTTGATTGCATGAAAAAAAAATAATAATCTGATATGTTGTGTCACATGCTATAGATATATCATGTTATGGCAATAAAGATTTGAATTGAATTGAATTAAAGATAACCAGTGTTTTATATTCGTTTTGTATTTAAAAACATTTCTTAAAAAGATGTGTTTTCTTTCAAGAAAGTGCCACACTTTCTTGAAATGTAAAAGAATCTCAGACCAAAGTAGTACTAGTACTATATTTTGATATTTTGTTGATAATTTATGAATAACTGCAGTGTGTTTATATCACAGTGAATTTGTGTAATCAGGGATTTTTCAGGGATTATGTCGAATCACTAAAATCGTTAGTGGAATATATATAATCACTAAAAATGACCAGTGATTGTATATAGTTACTGGACATTTTACAAATTATTTTACAAATTCGCTACTATGAATTCAGGGAATATGAATAATAAAAAAATCAAATATTGACAATAATTATTTGGTTTCTTTATTCGAGTGCTGAAGGTCGTGGGTTCGAACCACGTCCGGTTCAAACCAAAGACTTTAAAATTGGTATTTGCTGCTGCTCCGCTAAGCATCAGGCATTAAGGTGTAAGAGCAAAGACTTATCGCCTCGAAATCAGAATAATGTGTCTGGGTAAGTTATCATGTCTTCCTGCCGACTGTTACCTTGTGAACTAGCACGTTATAATCCTGCTCAGTGTGTCGGTCTAATACAAAGCTTGTTATCTTTTCATATTAAATTAACATGTTCTCGTCCTGAATATGCATATTAATTTGCCGGTGGACGTTCAGCAGTCGTCCATCATCATCATCATCATCTTATTCTCTTATTTCTATAAAGTTTAAGGGAACGGTTTTGATATATGAACTACTAGATAAATCTTAAGTGAACACATTTTATAGTAATATTTTTTATTAACTGATGAACCAAATTATTTTACAAACACATTTTAATAAGTATGATACAGGCACAGATGTTGCTTGCGTTGGAGTAAACGTATGCTCAACAGTTTCTGCAAATTGCAGAGGAAAAAAACAAAGTGTAAGATATGGACAAGGAAGTTCTTCGAAAATATGGAATGGAACAAGATATTTGAAGCACAAATTAGTTTATTCTGTGAGGAATTTGTTTTTCGGCTTCAGAGGGCTTTGGTCTTTTGATAGATGGGTAAAAACACCAAATCTACAATTTTGGAAAAAATCATTTTTAATGTTTGACAACTTTTATTTTGAAAGGTAGGGTGATGAAATCAAATGTCTTTATTTTTAGATTGGAAAACTATTGTATCTTGAAACTAGGGCGATAAAATGACGATATGTTTAAATTTGAAGGCGAGTAATATAAAATGTAAATAACTCACTTATGAGACAACCATACAAGAACAATAACAAAGCAAAGGAGATGTATCAACAGGCGGGTGCCTATACAACATATCTAAATCGCATCAAGTGTATATGCATTGCGTTATAAATTCTGTCATCGATACCAAATTACCCATATGACAATTAATCATAAAAAGAGACAACCACTGACCAATGTTGCTGACCTAAATTAGTAATCATGTTGCGAAGTCAAACTATTTTCTTTTATATCTTAAACTGTAATACTCCCTCAATCTCGTTCTGTCGATTATATGCAACGAAATTATACACTGTCCGATAAACCCAAATGCGAAAAAAAATGTGTTGCCTTCTAATTGTTTTCTGTTTATTTCCATAGATTGTTTGCTGTCAAATTGACGTATTGCAATTATTTTAGTATCTCATTTTAAACCTATCTTATTTAAAAAAAAAAGGCAGTAACTTATATCATGAAATCTTTTAGGACAGCTTTGAGGACCTAAAAAAACTGTGATGAATTGTTATATTCATTTCCTATGTATCTGACACACTTAAGGCATGTTAAAAAAGCTAATATTTGAACTTTCATCTTTGATGTACTTTTCCTTTTAAAATCGATGAGCCATTGGTATTTCAAATATCATGTTTAGCTTTACATGTGTGCCACGTAGATAGTTATCTGAATGAGTTAAAACGTAAAAAAATATTAGAGATGGTAGAAAATAGAAGCAGTACATTAACTTAATGTCATGTAAGTGCATATATCAATAACTTAATTAAGATTAAGTATTGTTGATACATATGAAATATGATTCTATAATGTTTAATTAACTGTTAACTTGAAATCGTTAATACTTGTGAAACACAAGTATAAACGATTTCAAGTTAATAGAATATTGTCTTACATTGTCTGGTGACATCAACTGTTTTTTTTTTAAATAATGGTATTAGACACAAGTAGAAAATTGAACTGTATCTAGAGAATCGAATTTTGTCTTTGCTGTTGATGTTTATAATGTTAGAAAAACATCTGTTTCGCAAACGTTCGAAATTTGATACGTTTGGTCGATAAATAGTATTACAGTAAACAGCCAGGTAACAAGGTTGTTTAGAGATTTTTAGCTCTTAAAGTCATATGAAACTTCAAATTAAAAAAATGAATGCATATGTTTTTATAACTAAGTGGCTAGTTTTTTATTATAACTCTTATGTACATATATATTTTTCTGAAGAAAATTCTTAAATCTTCCAAATTTAAAAGAAATTTACTTTTTTTTTATTGTTGGCTTCCAAGACAACAACTTGCCGACATCTTTTCCGTATGCCATTACCTCAGCGTGACCTTTCTCGTAAAAATCCGGTAATCGCAATACGCAAATTTAAAGGGGAAACCCAAATTGACAGAGAAAGTCAACAAACGTAAACATCGCTCCGTCATCGAAATAAACTATATCTTATTGTACAATTTTTACGCGTGCCTACCTGAATATCCATGTTTCTTTGTTGTAGTTTACAAAGGTGACAATCGGTAAACTTCGACTTTAAAACACGACCATTAATTAGCTGTCATATTTTCACAACAACACTGACTGAGTATAATATTTTTTTGACGATTCTACGAAATGGATGCGTAAAAAACGATAAAACCGTGCACAGAAGACTAAGTTTATGATATATGCATGCATTGGTTCGAGAATTGGATTAACATTATTTTTCACCAGTCACTCGTTTCAGACTTTAACGCGAGATTTATGATCGACCTTTTTTGTGTTTCATTTTGAACAGCAAGTATATACTTCCATTTTTGTAAGACTAGACCATTCTCATTGTACCTTATATATTATAAATATCTAATATAATTTAATATAATATAAAGAAAAAATAGATTGTAGAACCTTTGTATTTAATATGTACTTTTGATCATATAGCTCTTCTACTGTTTTGGTTATTATATTTCTTGATTTATTTCACTTGACTGGGGGGGGGGGGGGGGGAAGGGGGGGTAACCAGTTCGCTCATCATAGACCAGTCCATCTATAGACAGGTGTTTTAGGATAAACTCATCAATGAAGTATCCAGTTATGGTCATTGATCCGGTTAAAATATGTAAACAATATATGTGTTTCCGCAAAAAAAATAATGAGAAACAGTCGTCGATTTTCTTGTAAAGCAAAGTTTAAAAACATGTAAAATTTGTCACATTTTGGAATTTGTGAATATGAAAGTCAAACTATGACGACATCAGTTGCAGAATATGCATATCTCGTTATTCTATAACGTTTTGAAATACTTTTTTCCTTCCTTATATTCCAATGTTTTAAGGAGGAGGGGTGGACGGGGCTACGTTGCAAATAAAATTGATCATATTGAAGGAAGGAAAAAATAGGGTCTAAATATTTCCTTTTTTTATAGATTTTTTTTATAAATCACGTTTAAAATAAATCTCATAATCAGAAAAGTTTCAAACAGAATAACACAATATCCGATACTTTAAAATACTCTGCTTTTGCACATATAAATGCTATAAATTTTAAACTATTCTATTCATCCCATATCGTACACTCAGGTCTTTTGCATATCTGTGATATTTATACACCGAGAGATATGTGTGTCTGGATAAGACACCCCGTCGGCCGGAGGCCTTAGGGGTTTCTTATCAAGACACGCCGTATCCCAGGGTGTATAACTAACTTACACCCTAAGCTAAACCCTATATTTGTTAACATTGATTATTAAAAGAAAAGGAACGGATAGCGTATTTATTGACAATATAAAACCATGATTTATATGTTTTTTCATTTATTTTTTTTTTACATGAAACGCCACTAGTAACCTAATTTGTCTATCTTCGTTCAAACCTTGACAAGTGAGAAGATTTTACAAATGTCAAAGTTGCTGTTTTTAATATTCCCGTTAAATCCATGTGCTAATATGAATCAGCATGTCAAGGTTGACTGTTTCGTGCATTCTTAGTACAAAACAAAATACATCATGCTTTTTGTATGCAGTTGTCAATTTGGTCGAGGTATAAGACGGACGACATTTTGAGTCAAGCGTTGGATTTGGTAGAAGAGACTAAAGATAAAGCCTATATTATAATCCAAAGTATTTATACCTGTTTAATTAAGGTAATCATAAATGTATTTTACATATGGTACGGTTTTAATAGAAAAGAAAGCCACCCCCCCCCCCCCCCTTTCTTAAGGATAAACAAACATTCATATTCGGACATACTGAGGGAAAGGTGTGTCTGGATTAGAAACCCGAAGACCCGACACGCTCAACATACAAAAATACAGATTGAATATTAAGGAACTCTTTTTTTTCTAGGGGCAATCCGAAAGGGGGGGAGGGGGTCCGGGAGTAAAGATCAATACTTTAGAATAGAGACCTATGACTGGGATCATAAATTTTTATCTTCAAACAAAGCAGAATTTAAAGATATTTTTTTTGTTTAAAAAATAGATACTTTTTCAAAGATTTTTTTCGCTATTGGAATTTCCTAAAATGTGTTTTTTTATATCTTGAAACATTTTTTATGCTAATGTTATTTAAAAAATAATCAATTTCTATTGTTATGAATTACAATGGACTGTGTTTTCAGGATGTAGCCGCTCGTCACACCCTGTGGCCAAAATCCATTGTCATTCGTAACAATAGATATATTCAATTTACACTTGTTTCAGAAATAGAAACTATGAAGTATAACAATAGAGCTGGGGTGTAAGTTTTGTGACACTGGTAGGTGATTAGAAATTAGTTACAATAACTATAACGGCAACGGCAATCATCCTTATCACACACATCTTCGAATAGACTGTCCTTGTGTAAATTGACACGTAAGCTCCGCCCGATCAGTTGAAATAACCTTGGTAATACATATACTCGGCTTTCAGTTATTCGGCATGGAGCGTTCCTGATGAAGATTAGTCAAACAAATCTTTTCGGACGCAAGAAATAAATAATGTGTTGTTTTAAAAAATAATAAACTACAATGGCATATGTCCTGTTTTATTTGTTGGACATAATTAATAACTTAATGGGTTTTCAAATATCAAATATATAATTATAAGTATTGAAATTGGGCTGTATATTATATGTTGCAGACGTCTATTGGTAGTTTAAAAAAATCCGTTTTCATTGATCCGCTAGGTGTAGCCATGTAAACTCAATTTGCGACAGTAAATTATATATGGACGTCCGCATGAGGGTTATATGCTATGTTTGCGGGGTAAGATTTGGATATACCACCATAATAGGCTCTATTGTCCGGAACTGTTAATTATGTTTTAGCTCGCTCTCTCTCTTCGCTCTCCATTGTAAACCAAACATCACTGTATACATGTGTTAGACTAAATCAGTATTAAACAAGTAACATTCAATTGCAGTTAAGTAACGACTTAATGCCCTTGTGTAGTTTCATCCTAACTGGCGTGGTGGCAGCGTGATTCGAATTTACGCCTACAAGAAAGGTTAATTATTCATCACATTGTTGAGACAAACATCGGGACAGACTCAAACCTGTCTAGGTCACTCGTAAATAAATATTTACCGTGAAACTTAAACTGCAGTATACATAACCAAGAACATTTAACACAATGTCTAATACACACAGAGCACCTAAACAGTGGTGCCTTACTAAAATTGAAACTGTAAATTCATTTGAAAACTGGAGACAAAACATAATATACACGTTATCATGAGACCCACATTTTGCACCATTCTTAGATGACGGCGTGCAATGGGTAAAGAAACTAGGAATGATCCCAACCGTGGCTTTTTTAAATGATGATGAAGTTGTTGCCGAAGCAAACAGGCGTACACGTGAACAAAAAGTCAGCATGTTAGAATTAATGCTAGGTCAAATAGTCAATTATTGCCCTGTTATCTCTAGAAACACAATTGTGAAAATTTCTACTTCGACTGAAAATATATGGCAAATCATCCGTTTACATTATGGATTCCGGTCCACGGATGCTCATTTTATAGACTTTTCCGCAATATATTTCGAATTGAACGAACGTCCAAGAGACCTTTATCAACGAATAATGGCTTTTGTTGAAGACAACCTGCTCCGACGGGATACTCAAATAACGCATCACGGGGGCGCAATCGAGGAAGATGAAGAAATGACACCTTCACTTGAAAACTTTGTCGTTCTAACATGGTTTAGACTAATACATACAGACCTACCGAAACTATTCAAACAAAGATATGGAACAGAATTGAGATCGAGGACATTGTCGTCAATTAAACCGGAAGTTTCGCAAGCGCTAGATTCATTACTTGAGGAACTCCGGAATTCTGAGGATGCAAAAGTTATGCGAGCATCTACTTCCAGCAAAATCTAAGTTCGTGCATGAAGAAAGACAATCGTATCCACGCTCTGTAAAAAGCTGTCCGTTATGTAAAGCCGCAGGCAGACCCGACCGCCACTTCCTAAGCAAGTGCTCTTTCTTACCGAACAGTGATCGGAAGTACATGGTAAAAGCCCGACAAATTGCCGGAATATTTGATAATTCAGATGACGAATCATCAGACGTAGAAGTCGACACTGTTTTTAAACCTACTCATTCAGTAAACCAAGTCCAAGTCCGTCAGTCTCCGTATCTTGACGTGTTCCATACACATTATAACACACGTTTAACTATTGATAGAGGTGCGACCGGCAATATGTTACGTGCATCGGGAGCTAAACGAATGGGGATTGAAATAAAATCTAGCTCTCAATCTGCACATCAGGCCGATGGATCCTCACCCCTCAAATTCATTGGGGAAGTGCACACCACCTTCACACGTGATGGACGTGAACTACATTTTGATGGTTTAGTCGTCGAAACTTTGGGTGTGGACATCTTGGCTGGTATTCCTTTTATGGAAAAAATGACATTTCTATCCGTCCATCTAAACGTCAAGTAATACTGGGTAACAATACCGTTTATACATATGGCTCTGTTCAAAACATGTCCGAACATCGTACAGTCCGTCGGGCACACGTTTTACGTGCTCCATCTCAATTTACAACTATTTGGCCAGGCGATTTTCTTGAAATGCAATTACCATCTGATATCTTAACTGATGATACATTCGCCATTGAACCAAGATAAGAGTCGTATATTTCATCAATACATGCTGGAAAGGACTCAAACGTGTGGCCCCCGCCAAACTTGATTACAAGCGTTGCTGGCAGAATTCGTATTCCTAATTTGACACAGAAACCCCATAGTTTAAGACGCAACGAACACTTTTCTCAAATACGGTCAACATATATTCCAGAGTGTAAAAGTGAAGCTGTCGAATCCTCTGAAAACAATGATAAAATAAATCACCCAAGATTGACAAATTATTCAGAATCAGTCAAAGTTGACCCAGATAATTTGTAATCTGAAGAGATAAAAGTAAAATTCAGGGAAACATTGAATAACTATGATGATGTTTTTGATCCATATTTTAAGGGACATAATGGCGCCGCCGGTCCATTTTAAGCTAGAGTAAACATGGGACCAGTACAACCCTGCAACGCAAAGGCCGTGTTCCGCAATATTTCCGTAATTAACTAGTAGAACTTGAAGCAATTGGTGTTTTCAAACGCCCAGAAGATATTGGTGTATCTGTAGAGTATGTGAACCCGTCTTTTTTAGTTAAAAAAACCAAATGACAGTTTCCGTTTAGTTAACGCTTTTGCAGACGTAGGTCGATATAGCAAACCCCAACCGTCACTCATGCCAGATGTTGACTCAACCTTACGTCAAATAGCACAGTGGAAATACATAATAGCTACTGACCTTACAAAATCGTTCTACCAAATTCCACTTTCGAGTGATTCCATAAAATACTGTGGTGTAGTAACCCCCTTTAAAGGTGTACGTGTGTATGTGCGTTCTGCAATGGGCATGCCAGGCTCAGAAACAGCACTGGAGGAGCTTATGTGTCGTGTCTTAGGTGACCTTTTAGAAGAAGGTGTTGTAGCTAAAATAGCCGATGATCTTTATTGCGGTGGAAATACCCAACTCAAATTACTACAAAACTGGACAAGGGTTCTACAGGCTCTGCATCGTATTTCTACTTATCAGTTTGTCCACCCCCAGCCAAAGTATGTGGTTTGCGGTCTTTTATTGGAGCGTATAAAGTACTAGCACGAGTAATACCAGATTGTGCTTCATTACTGGGTAAACTTGAAGATGTTGTAGCCGGTCGAGAATCTAAAGAAACTATAAAATGGTCAGACGAACTTACCGATATATTTTCACAGGCTCAGAAAGCTCTTTCAACAAATCGTTCAATATTTTTACCTCAACCAAATGATCAACTATGGATTGTTACCGATGGTTCTGTGAAAAAAACATGCCTTAGGTGCTACCCTTTACATAAAAGAGGGATGAAAGATACATAACACGTGATGATAAAATACATGTATCTGGATGTTTTAGCGCAAAACTGCGACAACGCCAATTAACGTGAAATCGAAGCACTTTCTATTGCCTCAGCGATTAAGCACTTTAGTCCGTATATCATACAATCAAAACATAATTCTTGCATACTGACCGATAGTTAACCCTGTGTTCGTGCATTCGAGAAGCTGTGAAGGGGAGAATTTTCAGCAAGCCTACGTGTTTCAACATTTCTATAGCCTATAGCCTATAGATATCAAGTAACAGTAAGACATGTAGCAGGAGCTGCTATACTTCCGTCCGATTTTTCAAGTCGCAATGCACCAGACTGTGAGGATTCAGCCTGTCAAATCTGTACATTTGTGCAATTTACCGAAAGTTCAGTTGTTAGACATATCTCTACAAAAGACATTCTTGAAGGGATTCAAAAACTTCCGTTTACAAGCAGGAATGTCTGGTTATCAATCCAAACAGAGTGCTCGGACTTACGGCGAACACATGCGCACTTGCGCCAAGGGAGCCGACCGTCAAAACAACTTACTAATGTAAAGGATATTAAACGCTATCCGATCAATGCGTGTATTGCTAAGGACGGTCTACTTGTTGTCAAGAGGAACGAGCCAATGGCTCCTACACGAGAATGTATTGTTGTTCCTCGTCAGGTTTTAGATGGACTACTTACATCCTTACATATTAAACTCGACCATCCTTCAACCTATTAACTTAATCTGTCGTATACCGTTACTTTTTCACACTGGATATGGATAAAGCAATTGAAACTGTAAGTAATGGATGTCATCAATGTGCCGCTCTTCAAAAAATTCCTCACAAGTTAAATTTACAATCTACAGGTGACCCACCAGAGACAATAGGGTCTGCATTTGCTGCAGATGTGATGAAGCGTGAACGACAGCTTATCCTTGTTGTACGCGAATATGTTACATCATACACAGCTGCTTGCATGATCACAGACGAGCGCCATGAAACGTTACGTGAATCTTTATTGTGTCTTTGTGTTGAATTATACCCACTCGATGGACCATTTGCTGTCGTTCGTACCGACCCTGCTCCAGGATTTCAAGCCCTTGTCAAAAATGAACTTTTGTGTCGACATAGAATTACCATAGAAGTTGGTCGTGTCAAAAATAAAAACAAAAACCCTGTTGCCGACAAGGCAATTCAAGAGTTAGAAGACGAATTTTGCGACAAGACCCGAATACACGATGTATATCACCTCTGTCACTCTCGTTAGCTATTGCCCGTTTAAACTCTCGAATTCAAAACCGCGGGTTATCTGCAAGAGAAATGTGGACTCAACGTGATCAATTCTCAAACAACCAAATACCATTGACAGATCAGCATCAACATGAGTTACGAAAGTCGAACCAAAGTTACAGCGAAATTTGATCAGCATCAACATGAGTTACGAAAGTCGAACCAAAGTTACAGCGAAATTTCTAAAGCTCCCTCTGGAGCTCTACCAGAATCTCCGCATTTAGAAGTTGGTGATCTGGTTTACCTATATAATGACCGAAACAAAACTTGTGCTCGTTACCGATATCTAGTTGTTTCTACAGACAATTACTGGTGCAACATAAGAAAATTCGTTGGTTCTCAGTTGCGCAATACATCCTACCGTGTAAGGAGGAGTGATTGTTACAAAGTTCCATCACTATTGAACAATATAAGCCAACAGCGTTCTTATAATCACGACAATTATGCATCTTCCGATGAGGACGATAATACCGCGAAAACACCTAGCCCGCCTAAACCTCCTGACATTCCGAATGTAATATCCATTCCTCATTTACAGGAGTTAGAACAAGAACTTTTCGAAAACGAAAAAAGTGACTTAAGCTTACCAATAGGCGAAAATGAATTACAACACGAACCTGATGATCAAGTAAACACCGATGTAATTCGACGATCCACACGGGAACGCCGTCCTCCTAAATAGGCTCTATTGTCCAGAACTGTGTTTTAGCTCGCTCTCTCTCTTCGCTCTCCATTGTAAACCAAACATCACTGTATACACGTGTTAGACTAAATCAGTATTAAACAAGTAACATTCAATTGCAGTTAAGTAATGACTTAATGCCCTTGTGTAGTTTCATCCTAACTGGCGTACAGCTCATCGTGTTTTCAGGAACGACAAAAGAAATGATTTTAACTTCCTAAATGTGAACGTTCAATTTCCATATAGCAACTTTCCAGCAGCGCCTGCATATATGGAGTATATGTCTCCAAGTTAATACGACATGCAAAAGCTTGCATTTGCTGTCATGATTTCAGTGAAAGAGGGTTAGGGATGAGGTTGAAATCATCTTTTCGAACACTTAACGGACGCCATTACGAGTTTGTTGCTGTTATGAAATATCTGTCTCACAGATCACGAATGATTTATCGTAACCACCATCCCGTTCTCTTTTCTTCTAATGTGACCTACCGAATTTGAATTAATATCAGGTTTGTAATTACAAAAACAACACGACAGGTGTCACAAGTTAAAGAGGATCTGCTTATCCTTCAGGAGCACATAAAATCACAAGAAACTACCACCGGTTTTTCGTGGGGTTAATATTGTCCAGTCCTTATTTTTTTATGAAGTGTTGTTTGTCTTTTTGTCGTTATTTTGTCATGACGTACGTTATCAGTTTGTTTTTGACTAATGAGGGTGATTATCCCTTTGGTATCTTTCGACTCTTTTTATACACCCTAATTGTTTGGTTTGGTGCGTTTCTGATGAAGATAAAAACGAGAAAAAAGCTTAGGATGAATGAATAGTATATTAAAGTGTTATTTTCGTGTAAAACGAAATTTCAATAATTTCATTTGAGTCAGTGTTCAAGGAGAAAATTTCCCAGAAATATTGAACTTGCATTTAACGTAAAAACTCGTGTGAACTTAAAGTTAATTCTCATAGATCTTATGTGTTACTGAATCACGAGAAATCATGAAAAATTAACGTGACTTAACGTTGCCCGTATGTAAATAATTGAAAGATCGAACAAAAATTTAATTGACTGTCGTGTTTAATGAGCCACGTGGAATGCGTTTGATTTTGATGTTATACGGAATCCCCCCCTCCCCCAAAAAAACTGTTTTAAAATCATTCAAGTTAACTTGTTTCAACCATTCGCCTCAGTGTGAACGCAGGCTTATCTTTGTAACGTCTTCCGAAATGGAAAACAATCCATAATACTAATGCAGCTATATATCAAAAACTTACATTTGCATATTTAGATGATATATTAATTTATCTTCATAGACGAAATTGAGCAAGCAAGTGAGAAGAAAGCGCCAATTAATGGAACTGAGCAAGAATTTGAGAAGAAATCGCTCGTCAGTGGTATTTGGTTTGTAACAAAGAAATATGGATGGGCTGTATTAATAGGTGTAGGTGTAGTATTTGTAGAACTTCTTGCCGTTGCTCTACAACCAAATTTAATTGCAGGATCTTTCAGTATGTCATTCCACACCCGTTGGTACCATCGGTGGATGCATATGTATAACTATATTATGAGAGGCTGTTCGGAGAAGGACATGGACTGTATGAACAGTTTCACTTTATCTTCTTTAGTGGATGCATATATCATGGGAGGCTGTTCGGAAAAAGATATTTACTGTATGAAGAAATAAAAATTACTTCCACACTTCTATTTGAGTTAATTGATTATTCCCTGATTTTATATCCGATTATATAGCAGACCTTACATTGTATCATTCCACCAAATAATTTACTCTTGGCTTTACTAAGACACTTTGTGTTTCCGACGTATGTTTAATCAATTTTATTTCTACAATATTTTTTCGGAATACATTTTTTATACGTTCTTTAATTTTGATTTTCCATTGATTGACGAATAAACTCGACTCTGAAGAGCTTGTTTCGCTCACCTTGGTCTATGTGCATATTCACTGACAAGGGACACTCTCCAAAATTGTAGACGATTATAGGATTCATGACCAAAATAATTCTGTTTTGATGATCTTGTATTGCTGATCATTTAGTCTATTTAGTTGCTCTCTATCTTCTTTAGTTTTTGCTCAAAACAAAAAACGGGGTAAAAAAAAATCCCAATTTATTTGTCTTGCTGATCATTCTTGCAGTTTAATATTTTTCTTTCTCTAATTCTTCGTCAATTTATCCCTTTCTGCACCCATTGTATAAAAAAAATTTAATCAACGTGTGGTTCATTTGATCTCAGTTCTTCATTGGTTAAAATCCGATTGTGACGTCGAATTTTCTTGCTTTCCTCTGAATTTCCTATTGTGACGGCATGAAAAAAGGCGACCATGCCTGATGACGTCACATAGAAAGAACACATCTTTTTGCAGATCATTCAAAAAGAAGGAATTAGTTTGCCTGCATATTGTTTGAAAATCATTAGAGAAACAGATTCCACCACCAAATCTCGTGTAATACGATATTTATACACTCTCGACAGTTAAATTTTAAATATTTAAAACGCTCGGCGAGCCTCGCGTTTTAAATTTGAAAATTTAACTGTCTCGAGTGGATAAATATCGTATCACACTCGATGCAGTGGTAGAATCTATATTTCTCTAATTCTTCGTCAATTTATCCCTTTCTGCACCCATTGTATAAAAAAAATTTAATCAACGTGTGGTTCGTTTGATCTCAGTTCTTCATTGGTTAAAATCCGATTGTGACGTCGAATTTTCTTGCTTTCCTCTGAATTTCCTATTGTGACGGCATGAAAAAAGGCGACCATGCCTGATGACGTCACATAGAAAGAACACATCTTTTTGCAGATCTTTTTACTTGCCTGCGTATTGTTTGAAAATCATTAGAGAAACAGATTCCACCACCAAATCTCGTGTAATACGATATTTATCCACTCTCGACAGTTAAATTTTAAATATTTAAAACGCTCGGCGTACCTCGCGTTTTAAATTTGAAAATTTAACTGTCTCGAGTGGATAAATATCGTATCACACTCGATGCAGTGGTAGAATCTATATTTATCTATTTTAGATTTCAAGATAATAGGCAATAATATAAAAATGGTAAAGTTTGTCATTCAAGGGCAATTACTCCTATGAGAAGTTGTCTGACAGTCTTGATGTATAAGTCTTGACGTAAAATTGGTAAAGCTCAATATTCTGAAAATGTTTGCTCCTTTATTTTTTTTAATTTTTTTTTTGGTTGACAGGCGGGGTCACCGGACACATTTTTAAACTAAATACCCCAATGATGATTGTGGCCAAGGTTGGTTTGTCCAAGTAGTCAGAGGAGATTTTGGGTTAAGTAAACGGACGACCGGGACACCAAGTGATGACAAAAGTTCACTTGGCCCATTGGGAATAGAAATAGAAATAGAATTAGAAATAGAAATAGAAAAAGAAATAGAAATAAAAATAGAAATTCTTTATTATACCAATTACAGACCCTTACGGATTTTAAGTTTCATATCACAGTTACAATGATTTGTATGCCCCCGCGACAAAATGTCAGGGGCATATTAATTTAACCCTGTCCGTCCGTCTGTCCGTTTGTCCGTCCGTCAGGATAAGGATACATTGTTTGTCCGGCGATCTCTTCCGACAGTTTTGAAGGTACAACTTTAATATTTTGTAGGATGTTCACATAATGAAGGTGTGTATGGTTACAGGATTTTGTTTTTTTTCAAATATTCTGAAAAGGACAGGTAGTTGGACTTAGTGTTTTGTTTTTTTTTTTTTTGGTACTAGCTGCATAAAGAGATCATGGTTTGTCCGGCTATCTCCTCCTACAGTTTTGGAGGTACAGCTTTAATATTTTGTAGGATGTTTATACACATAATGGAAGTGTGCATGGCTACAGGTTTTTCTTTTAAATATTCTGAAAATGACAGGTAATTGGACTTAGTCATTTTTTTAGTACTAGGTGACAAAGAGATCATGGTTAGTCCGGCTATCGCCTCCTACAGTTAATGAGGTACAGCTTTAATATTTTGTAGGATGTTTATGCCACAGGATTTTGATTTCTTCTAAATATTTTGAAAATTACAGGTAGTTGGACTTAGTCATGTTTTTTGTATTAGCTGCTTAAAGAGATCATGGTTTGTGCGGCTTTCTCCTGCTACAGTTACATCATCATACATAGTGTTAAATTTATAAATTTCCAAATGTCAGGCGGGGGCATCATTTGTGTCTTACAGACAGCGTAGAAATTTAAAGTTGTATGCCAACATCACTGTTTGTCAAATCTAAAATTTGTAGAAGTTGACTCGCCCTTACTGAAAAAATCAGCCTCCTGCAAATAGTTTCTGTGCAAGTCTGCAGCGAACTTGCTGCAGACTTGCAGCGAACACAGAGTCTGTATTTGCCGCATGTTTGTTGCAAATACGCTGCATGTCTGCTGCAAACAATTTACCATGCAAATGAGTGTTTGCTGCAGACCTGCTGCAAACATTTATATGCAAATTTGTGTTTGCTGAAGACATGCAGCAAACATTTTTATGCAAATTAATCCTTCACCTGCGTGTTTGCAGCAGACCTGCGGCAAACATTTATATTCAAATTAATATTTCTCCTGATTGTTTGCTGCAAACTTGCAGGAACTCCATACATTATACAATTATCAACCAATGTCATGTTGTGTACACATCACATTATCTATATTACACAGCAGATTCTGAAAAAGTTAGGTTGCATCCATACATACATACAATTATTCAAATATTTTATCATTTGCAAAACTATCAAAGCATAATTTAATACCTTTTAAAAATTAATTTAAAGTTTTTTGTTCAAGTACGTGCTCAAATGAATTGCATTCATGATTAGTCTAAAATACAACAAACAAAAAGATTTATTTGAAATTTATCTTGTGCATATGGTTAAAATAATATTGTCACAGAATTCAACTTGACTTATAACAACATAATATTTAATACGCTATAATCTCCAAACATACTGTAGAGTACTGCATATTTGTTACATGTTTGAAAATGTTTTTCAAACCTTCATGCAGGTATTTGTGGAGGGGATGAATTTACACTTCTATGAAGAATTTGTACTTACAAATAATGTCTTTGAAAACGAACCTTTTAGTTTCCAACATAAAATGCCTCCGTGAACACTAATACATAACATGACTCAAACACCATCAACATTTTCAAATTTCAAATCTTTATCTTCAGGAAGTGACCAATAATGCCTAATGCTCAGTCTCTTTATGTAATTCTTGCAATGCTCTTGCAAACATATAGAATTGTCAAAGATTTCTGCAATCTAGCTGCGAACATCTCTTATATTCTTTTTCCTGCAATCTACTGCAAACATAATTGTTTCTGCAAACTTGCCGAAAGCCTGCAGCAAAAAGCTGCAATGTTTGCAGGAGGTTCACAGCTAGCTGCAAACATCTTCAAACTCTGTTAAAGGGTCCCTGCAAGGTTTTTTGTTTGCAACAAACCTGCAGCAAGTCTGCTGCAGATCTGCTGCAAACATTTCAGTTCTGTAAGGGCATGCAAATGGCATAGCAGAAAGGGGGCATTTTCCATATCTAGTTTTCTTTTTAAGACAGTGAAATGATAAAATACAACATAATAGAACACTGAAAAGTTAGTGCATGCACATGAATAGAAAAGTTAGGGGAGACAATCAATAAATATATAAGGAGTATTCCTCTTTGAACAGTAAATAATCTTCGAAGATATGTGATTTGGAAAAAAAGAAGCCCAAACTGAATATATATATAAGGGAAGTTTTCTATCGTGTACATGGAAAAAGCAATTACTGTGGATTCATTATTATTCGTTGGATACCAATTTTCGTGGATTTCGTGGGTACAGGTGAACCACGAATTCAAATGTTCAACGAACTGCAAATTTTCTTTAGGATTGTATGCAGATTTTGGCAAAACCACGAAATTAAATATCCACGAAAATGCAGGTTTTTATCAATCCACGAAAATTGGTACCCACGAAAATAAATGAATCCACAGTAAATTCTTACCGCAAATTGACTACATTTTTTTAAGTTTTGCATCAAAATTACTCAAAGTTTTTTTACATTTTAAATAACATTAACGTTACCAATTCTACTGCAACAGCTGTGCATTTTGATAATCAGTGTCTCTTCAGTGATGCTCGAGGCCAATTAAATTATTAGAAAATCGAAAACTCTTACTGAAGTTCTGATAGAACTCCAAAGAACAAAAAATTAAGCTTAAACCAAGACATTGAATCATACACTCAGCATAGATACCAGGCAAAAAGTTTTGTAAAACAGACAAGTGTTTCCTCTACAAAAGACTCATCAGTGATGCTCGAATAAAAAAAAGTGAAAAAGTTCAAATAAAGTACGAAGTTGACCGACCAATTAGTCAACAGTTTAATCCATACAAAATATCACACGATTAAAGTTGATCGACAATGTTATAATTTGAATCTCGTGTACTATGTTCCTTGATAGTGACTTAGCATGAGGGTCTGGATTGGGTTTTTTTATTTGTAAATTCCTTATCACTCTTATCATTTCAAAAGCATTTATTTCTTTACATTCTATATGTTTCGTTTGTTCTTCTCTATTCTCTTTTTACCCTTATTCTCTATTTTGCCCATGGTTAACCAAATCCAGACCATCAGTTATAAGCCATATTTGTGAAATATATTTCTTTTTCTTTTTGGTTTGATATTTAATGTCTGTTT